GACCGAAGCGCACAAGGGCCGGGGTGAAAAAATGCGTCAATGTGGGGATCTCCGACCTCGAGGACACCGCAGCCCGGTTTCGGCGGCTCGGAGTAGATGGTAAATTTAGGCCTTGCAACTGAAAAACAACATTTACAAAAGCGTTGAAGTCCCTCCGGTGGAGCCCTAGGTGATATAGTAGATACCTCAAGGCGGTAGTCAACACTAAAGTACACCCTAGTCACCACCCGGTAATGATAATTGGATAATATACCCATCGTTCGAGGGCAAACTGTTCGACTTAGGCGATGTTGAGAGCACTACCGTCGCCCGAAACAAGCCATATACGCCTCGTCTTCACCGAAGATGACAAGTGGGTGTTGTTACCAGATAAAGACGACTGGTTTCTCAATATTAGGCTCGGCTCCCCTATGTGTTCACGGATAACAAAGACAACCACCTAAACAAAGTCGTTAACAAGCGGAACCCTGCTCCGTGAAACTACGTCCCGACTCAGAGGCGTAAGCGTAGTCATCAACCCAGTCGCCAGTATGGCAGCCACATGCTATCGAGTAAAGCGGGCATGCAAAAGCGTGACATTGCAGTTGGTGTCTGAATTTGAAGGCGTGGTCAGGATACTAGAGAGTCTACCGGCGAACTCAACACTGATCATCAAAGTCTACCCAGGGGAACCATCGGGGAATGATGTCGAGATCGTGAAGGGGATCAAACTTGGGTGGGTGAAACGACACCAGTATCACGTTGCACAGTTTACGTGCGGGTGGGTGTCGGCTCCAACACCAGTCTGCAGGGTGTCACCGTGATCGTGGAAAACACTATATCACTAACCAAGATCTTCCTACCTGACAACATACACTTCATGGGGGTGAAGTTAACCCCTGAACTATTATCAGAAAACCAGTTGGAAATTATATCGTAATAGTATTATAGCAATGACCAGTCATCGTCCCAACACTACGCTTAACGACCTAGGGGACACGGAGGGATTCGATGAGCCTGGTGAGGAAGACACCTCGTACGTCCTACACTTGAAAGACAATGTGTATAGGCGGGCAGCAATAGCCGATCATCTACCCAAACCCACACTCAGGGACCTAGAGGAGTTCGATCCGCCTGGTAAGAAAGGTAGCTTATACGTCCTACAATCAATAGGTGATGGGTACGTGCGGAGGCTCCTGCCAGACGACTTTATGAGAAGTCTGCACAACCACTTTATAGAGTCCAAATGTTTGCTCAACATAACCCTCACCACACCTTACGTCTCTTTTCGTGATGATTTTAGTGATATCACTGAAATTAAGAACAGCGGTATCTCGTTCGGGGGGTTTCAACCCGACGGTCTTATAAATATTAGAATTTCCCCAATCCCAAATCACCCTGGTTATATGTTAGATGCACCCGAGTATGCACAGTTATCATTTAAGGGACACTCTCACCTACGACCTCCTACGTTGATGTCCCCAGGCTCCACATTAATCGTAATACTCTTTTTAAAAAGCACCCATGGGACTGACTCATGGGACCTTGTATCTGGGATGGAAATAAGCATATCTGATACCGAATATAAAGACCGCTATTGTAGTATCGTTATACGACGGGACTCGGGGCCTGGTAAGGGGTTTCTGACCCCCTTAACAAGCAACAGGATGTTTAGGGTAAGTCGCCAAAGATTACCTATTCGCCTTTCCCCTATTCACCTACCCGAGAACGTTGGCCTTGTAAAATTCCAGTACGTTGAGCAACTATTAACTGATACCCAATTAAAAAATATTTCCCCAGATATATTATAGGCACACAGGATGGGGCTGTACCCAGTCGTAGAGGAAGTAGCGAAGACCCTGGAAACCGTAAACGGGTTCCGCTTGAGGCAGTTATGTGATGTAAAACGTCAACTAGAGCAAGACCGCGACACGCGGAAAGCACTATGTAAAAAGTACCATAGAGCTTTCAATATCGTGGACGGGGCTGACGCTGCCCTTATGGCAACCAGCATGGGGCTGGGAGCGGCAGGTGTTGGGTTGTTAGCTACCATCGTGGCTGCACCTATAGTACTAGGTATTGAAATAACAGCTGGGGTGGCAGGGGTGTTAGGGTTGGTGCTTAAGTTGGCATCACGTAGACTGCATCGTAAGGCATTGAAACACGGACGAGATCAGGGGTTCTGGCTGAAGCAAAGCTGAACACAGTAAGTGAGCGTATTTCCACTGCACTCACTGACAGTAAGATCTCAGAGGAGGAGTTTAGTTCAATCCTCTCTGAACTCACAAAATATAACGAAATGAAACAAGAGATTCGATCCAAGTCTCGTAAGTCTGCTATCAGCGAGGATGATAAAAAAAAGTACATAGAACAAGGGGTGAAAAAAGCCCGGCAAGCCTTTATTACAAACACCAAGGAGATCATAGGCGATTCACATTAAACTGTTTCATCGAAGTAAACATGGCATAGTGCCATAGCGGCACGTTAGACGCAGCCCATGCAATCCCAGGATACCAACACACTCCAGCCATGCCCCCGGCGCGGCTAGGAGGTGCGTTCGCATCCCCCAACTTTTGTAGTAGGGGTAATGGTAGCAAGAGCTAAGGGTCCGACCAAAGCCTTACTTGTGAAATAAGGCTTTGCAGAGGCTTTGGTTGAAAGTGGTCCAGAACCGCTATCGGCCCAAACTTTTTCATAGTAGGGGAAATGGTAGCAAGAGCTAAGGGCCCGACAAAAGCCTTATTTGGTAAATAAGGCTTTGCAGAGGCTTTTGTTGAAAGTGATCCAGAACCCCCATTGTATATACTACTAGGGCTGCCAATTTAATTGTATACCAATTTAAGAGGGTGACCCAATAGTAGCATGCATATGTTCAGTTATTTTAGTTGAAGCTTGAGCGAACAAAATATTGCCAAATATGTGAACGACAAAATATTCCGGTGAGATTTCCGTTCTGTGTTTTCTAAATACGCAGTTCAACCTGATAATAATGCAACGCTATAATGACAGGTTGAACGGTAAGTGTCCAAAATATGCGCCCATCCTTAACCCCGTGGCAGGTAGAATTTGTGAGGGGTCCCGTAGTTTTATATTAGTCCATCATACGTGGCCCACTCGTGTTATTCCGGGACAAGCCGAATAACGAGTTTACGGTGACGAAAGATAGGTCCTTCTTATATACTTATTATATGTGTATGATCCGTGATTCGCCCACGCGCGGAGTGATACTTAATGTCAAACTAACTTGAGTGCGGAAGTATCGAGAGGCATGAAAATATGTATTTGTTTCATTAAGCAACAGATTAATGCAAGATAAATAGAGGATACTAAACGACCTTCCGTGTAATACCATTTTTATTAAACGAGTTAAAGATTTGGTATCAAACGAGCGAAAGCGAAACCTACAGCTTATTGTGACAAATACATCATCTCGTTTATATATATATATATATATATATATATATATATATAACGTCATACTTCGAACTCGTTGTTTCTCTGCTCCCAAGAACATCTTATCGTTCAATACAAAACATCCAAATGCACTAGTATGACGTTCTATATTTATTATATATAGAGGATACTTAACGACCTTCCGTGCAATACCATTTTTATTAAACGAGTTAATGATTTAGTATCAAACGAGCGAAAGCGCGTTTGATGCTAAATCTTTCACGAGTTTAATAAAATGGTATTTCACGGCTGTGAAACTCGCCCGTGGAAGATACTGCAGTGTAATGATTTTACAGCAATATTACACTAGTGTAATACCGCTAGACGTATGACGTCATAACGGTTACAGTTATGACGTCACAATGCTAATACCTCTGTCACAATGGTATTAGACCTTGCTTGATTCGTAGAAAGCTGAGAGTCATCACACTGTTGGCAGTTTCTATCAATTTATGTTGGAGAGTGATAAACAGAATAGTAACCCGCTTCCGTGAAATACCATTTTTATTAAACTCGCTTTCGCTCGTTTGATACTAAATCATTAACTCGTTTAATGAAAATGGTATTACACGGAAGGTCGTTAAAATATCCTCTATATATAAAAAAATATAGAACGACTCACCAACTTCTAGAATACCGATCAAACAACTGTGTTAATTGCTGCATAGTTTAATTGACAAAACTCAATCTTGCACTTACAGGTTTACAGTGCCAAACGGGTTATGAGGCAATAATTCCTTATGTACAAAATGTGGCATTACAACTATGTTGAAGTGTTATAGTATCTGGGCGGTGGGGTAGCCTAGTGGTAAAGCGTTCGCTCGTCACGCCGAAGATCGGGTTCGATTCCTCACATGAGTACAATGTGTGAAGCTCATTCCTGGGTGTGATATTGCTGGAATATTGGTAAAGCGCGGCGTACAACCAAACTCACTCACTGACTGTTCTAGCAGTTATAGTAGTAAAGGTTGAAAGTACACCGAATTGTTTTATGTGTTTCTCATTCCCAACCTCAGTAAAGTAGTAAAGGTTGAAAGTACACCGAATTGTTTTATGTGTTTCTCATTCCCAACCTCAACCGGCAAGTTATGGAAGGTTGTTTTGACATTTTAAAAGTTAGATCATTTGGTAATAATCTTTCAAACAGTTTATGATGTAGATCAAGTCACTTAAAACATTGCTTAAAAACAATTGTAGATGAATAAATGTGAAGTTGACTGCTGTTCTTGTTTACGAGCGTGAATGTAAGAGTGGAGTGTGGTTAGATTTTAGTCACATCGTCAGTATTTCAGTCGTACCACGACTAATACAGACATACAAGAGGATTTTGTTATTTATTATTATATTATATTTTCACAGAGGCAAGGGGACAATGGAGATTAAAAGTATCCATCGTGTCACTATGAGGCGGGGGATATCGGTGGCCTTAAGGGAGCTACGGTGAAATTGGTTAATTCCTTCCATTCAGTAGAAATGAATATCTCAGTACTTTAAGCATTAACTACAGTATAGTTTTCATGTTTATTGACTCGTGAAATTATATCTGATGCATTTACTTTACCTTGCAGAACACTTGCGGCCTGAATTTGATAGTGAGTGAGACGTCATTCGCAATCGGACAACGCATAGGAATACCCATGCACTCGATGCAGATTGAGGTAGGTTCTACAGGCGAGATATTAGGAGACCAGGGCTCAAACGAGCTCCATACAGTGTTCGCAGTCCAGAGCTTGCAGGAACTTGTGTGCCGCGCTGCGGTGAATTGATCTGAAATTTGCTTTTATAGGCAAAACCATGGAAAAGTATGACGAGTGAAAATATTTAGTTTCTCGCTCGGTTGTGAAAGTATCTGGTAACTGATAATATATCATAGCATCCATATAAATGCAGCCACTACCACAATCATTTCATCTGACACGATGTTTAGTTAAGTTCTAATAATTTAGTACCATTAAGTACCATAAGGTTAAATTTTTGTTTGTTGTTTAACACCGCACACAGCACTATTCCGGCTGTATGGGGGCGGTCTATAAACAATAAAAGCCTTTAAAAAGGCAACGTTGGAGGCACCTGGGTAAATTAAGAAATTAGTGAGAAGGACGTGAGATGATTTGGGGTGAAGCTGATTTAAAGAGCACCGCGATGACCATAGCTCAAGACGTACAACCAAGCGTATCAATGACCCAAATCACTAGACCTACAACCAAGAATGTCAGTCATCAACCACTAGACGTACAACCAAGTGCATCAGTCACCAAAACCACTCACCAAACCAGACGACGGACGTACAACCAAGAGTATCAATCACCAAACTAGACGTACAACCAAGCGTATCAATCACCAAACTAGACGTACAACCAAGCGTATCAATCAGCCAGCAAACTAGACGTACAACCAAGCGTATCAATCACCAAACCACAAGACGTACAAACCAAAATGCGTATCAGTCACCAAACCACTAGACGTACAACCAAGCGTATCAATCACCAAACCACTAGGACGTACCAAACCTAGACGCGTGCATCAATCACCAAACCACAAGACGTTACAATCAAGCGTATCAATCACCAAACAACTGGACGTACAACCAACCGTATCAATCACTCAAACCACTAGACGCAATAAAACCAAGCTGTATCAGTCAACTAAACCACTGGACGTACAACCAAGAATATCAATCACCAAACCACTGGACGTACAACCAAGTGCATCAGTCACCAAACCACTAGACGTACAACCAAGAGTATCAATCACCAAACTAGACGTACAACCAAGCGTATCAATCACCAAACTAGACGTACAAACTGCTGTATCAATCACCAAACTAGACGTACAACCAAAGCGGTATCAATCACCAAACTAGGGACGTACAACCAAGAGTATCAATCACCAAACTATGACGTACAACTGTCAGGCATCAGTCCACCAATGCACTACTCAGACGCAATAAACCAAGCGTATCGTGCTAACCAAACCACTGGACGTACAACCAAGAATATCAATCAATTTCAAACCACTGGACGTACAACCAAGCGTATCAAGTCAATAAACCACTGGACGTACAACCAAGCGTATCAACTCACCAAGCTAGACGTACAAACTGCTGCGTATCCAATCCACTTAAAACCACTAGACGTACAACCAAGCGCATCAATCAATTTCAAACCACTAGATCGCACAACTGGCTTATCAATCACGCGTCCAGCAAGACGTACAACAACAAAGCGTATCCAATCAATTAAACCATTAAGGACGTACAACCAATATGGTATCGAATCAATTAAACCACAAGACGTACAAACCCAAGAAGTATCAGTCACCAAATGTCACTAGACGTACAACCAAGCGTAATCCAATCAATTTTAAGCCACTGGACATTGCAACGTGGACGTATCAATCCGCTGACCATCGGAGCTCGGTACGGTAGGTATCGATCCGCCAGGCCACTGGACGTACAACCAAGAGCGTAATCAACTCTTGACCACCAGGACGGTACAGCCTCAGCGTATCGATCACCAAGACCATAGGATTGCAATAGTATCAGTCCCTTAGACCACTGGACGTACAGCCAAAGTATCGATCACTTAGGCCACTGGACGTACAGTAGCCAGGCGTATCAATCACTTCAACCACAAGACGTACAACCAAGCGTATCAGCCACCAAACCACTGGACCAGTCGATCCGCACAACGCAAGACATTACCTGACCAAGCGTATCAGTCCGCAAACCACTAGACATTACAATACAAGCTGCATCAATCACCAAACCACAAGACGTACAACCAGAGCGTATCAATCCACCAAACAACTGGACGTACAACCAACTGCGTATCAATCCGCAACAAACCACCACAGACGCACAATAGCGGCTTAAGCAATGCCAGAACAACTGGACTGTAAAGTATCAATCGCAAGACCGCTGGACATTGCAACTGCTGCATCAGTCACCAAACCACTGGACGTACAACCAAGCGTATCAATCACCAGAACAACTTGGACGTACAAACTGCTGCATCAATCACTCAAACCACCAAGACGTACAACCGCTGCGTATTAATCACCTGCACAACTGGACGTACAAACTGCTGCATCAATCAATTAAAACCACTGGACGGTACAACCAACCGTATCAATCGCAGGCTGCGCAGGACGTACAGCCAAGGGTACAATCCGCCAGGCTAGACGTACAACCAAGAGTATCTCCATCTGCGGCTGTACCATCGAAAACCACCAGATGTATCAGATGTATGCGCGCAGGCGAGCACGCCATAACTGGAAACAAAATACCGACATTATTTTGCAAATAGAGGCTTACCAGTACATGAAGGAAGGGAGAAGACATATTTCCGTTTGAAACGATACTGTTTTAGAGCGGTACGCACATCAGGCTCTACAAGTTTTGACTAAATGTGCATGTATTATTTTTAAATTTAATCATTTCATAAAATGTATGAAAGTTCGACCGTAGTGGGAACGTGGTGGGCACGGCGGCTACCACAGTAACGACAAGGCCAACTCTCAGCCATGGAATGGATTGGTTATACCATCCTGGACGTTTGTTTATTGAAATTCAGTTATAAACTTCATGTGCGAGGTGCCAACTGTGAATTTGCAATGCTCTGCCGTTAGGGGTTGAACCTTAGTCTCAAGAGTCTCCAAACCCCGGACCCTG